TTCAGGGCGAGTTGGTATGCCCTAGTTTTGTTTTTATTATTGAAACAGTTGCTATGTTAAACAAAGACAGTGAGCAAATGTTTGCAATAGTTAATTTCTCTTACAAAAGTAATTTTTCTTTTAAAAAGAAGACGACATTAAAGAACATTTCCCCCTCTATGAAGAAATGACTTCTGGAAGAGTTCATTTTGTTCAGCCTTTCCTGAGTTTTCTGTTTGATAAATGTTGAGTGTGATTAGGAATTGGCTAGTTGATATGGCAGGTAGTTTGCGAAAAAATAGCACATTTAGAATTTACTGCTGCTCTTCTGGCACAGTGACAGGAACCCAGTGAGAGTTGGAAATGGGGTTCTTCCCAGGTTCTCTTAGTGCAGAGATAAAAATTAATGGCCTACTGATGTGGGTGGGCTGTTTGGCCCAAACAGGGTTTTAAAAATAAGGAAGCGTCACTTAAAAATCTGGATTGCTGGCTTCTTTTGAAAAACTCAAGCGCTCTGAGCCTGCCTCTCTCCTCAGAGCCCCGGTGAGCTGGACTGGGTAGGGAAGCCCTCATGAGAAGTCACCTGGTGCGTGTTATCCTGCATACCTGGCCTGCTTCCACCTTGAGCTAGAGCTTTGGGCGAACCTAAAATATGTATAAATTTTCATGTATAAAAACACTTTTTAATTTACATGTGGACTTGTTTCCCCCAAGCTGCCTTTTTCTTATTGATGTGTTCTCCAACTTTTTATTTTGAGAAATTTCCATTTTAAAAAAGTTGATAGAAAAGCACAGTGAATACCTGTATACATTTCGCCTAGAAAAATCAACACGTTGCTTTATCTCTCTCTCTTTCACACACATGCACTCACATTTATTTTGTAGAAACATTTGAAGGTAAGTAGTGTATGTCATAACACTTGATCTAAATACTAAAGAATGTATTATTGCCTGAGATTAGATATTCTTCTGCATAACTGTGATCATTATCATGACCAAGGAATTTAACACTGATAAGAGTAAAATTACTTAATATGTAATGCAAGGTCATACTTCCTCATTGTTCCCCACATGTTCTCTTTAGCTATTTTTATTCTAATCCACAAGCTAATGCAGCATTGCATTTGGTAGTCTTGTTTCTCTAGATGCCATTATTCTAGACAGTTCCCAGCTTTTGTTGTTTATCTTTCACGACACGGAACAGTTTTTTCTTTAAGAGTCCAGGCTGGTTGTTTTGTAGAAAGTTCTATAATTTGGATTTGTCTGGTGACTTCCTCATGATTAGCTTCAGCTTAACCATTTTTGTTACGACGACTACAGAGGACAATATAAGTCATGTATATTTCCATTGTATCACATCATATTGTCAGACTGTCCCATTATTGGTCCCAAATTCAATCCTTTGGTTAAGGTGGTGCCGACTAGATCTTTCCTTTATAAAGGCACCTTTGTCCCTTTGTCAACTAGTAATCTGCAGGATGATAATTTGAGACTCTGTCTCTTCTGACCATTGATGATCCTTGCGTGAATCAGTTATTGTATATTGGTGGTTGCAAAATGGTGATTTTCTAAATCTGTCATTCCTTCTGCGTTTATTAGATGACATTTTTTTCTGTAAAATTTCCTTCCCCGCCCCTTTTTCTTGAGTAACACTATATGGTTTATAATGCTTTGCCATCTTTTTTCTTTCTGGTTCTCAGTTTATCCCAGAATTGGTGAGTGGAGCCCCTTCAGGGTATTAACCATGTCCTTTGGACATGTCCCCATCAGCCTTTGATTACTCCCTCACTTTCTGGTAAGAAATGTTTCTAATTCACCTTGACATTTCCTTGCTCCCGTCTTGTAATCAGCCATTTCTCCAAGTGGGGAATGGTATTTAGAAACCAAGATCTGTGTAACTTATTTATATATGTAAAAAAACAAACAAAAACCAAGATCTGGATGCCAAGTTTGCTCATTGCTACTGAGGTATCATTGCTTCTAGGGCCTTTCAATGGATAGAGCCAAGACATATTAATGTTTTTAATAAAATTAGAATGCTTCCATTTTTCAGGGGCTGCTTAAAAAACATTTTGCAGAGGGCCGGCCCGGTGGCGCACTGCTATAGTGCGCTGCTTGGGAAGTGCAGCGGCGCTCCCGCCGAGGGTTCGGATCCCACATACAGAACGGTTCCCGCTCACTGGCTGAGCGAGGCACGGGGGCGACACCGAGGGTTGCGATCCCGTTGCCGGTCCCAGTCCGGTACGGGGGTGACACTGAGGGTTGCGATCCGTTGCCGGACACGGAAAAAGACAAAAAAGAAAAAAAAACCGTTTTGCAGAAACTTTATAGGTTGTAGTTCATGCTGAAAAACTAGAGTATTGGTATCTATAAGCAATTCCAGGAACTAAAGTTATATCGACTTTTTGCAGTCTTCCTTTTTCATAACCCTCCAGAAAAACCTTCCTTTTCCATACCCTTTCATATGCTGCCAGAAGGCAGAGTTCATTGACTTTATGTATCTCTGAAAGACTGGTCAAGGTAAGTGAGCACAGAAACAAAAGGCTGATCCATTTGTTTATTTAGTAAGTTTTTTACTCCACAATGCAAAAAATATTTATTGAAAAATAACTCTTTTAGGCATTGAAGTCCTTATTCTCCTGATGATAAAAAGAAGTAGGACTTGGTCTGTGCCCTGTGGCTGAATAATGCGTTTAGTAGCAGAGTGATAGGACTTGGAAGAGAACGTGGAGTAAGGGAGGTGCTTACTCCACTGTTCACACCTGCAGAGCTTTGTAGAGGGAGGGACCGAAGCCCTGCATTAGCTGCTCCTTAGCTGCTTCTCAGCTGGGATACCACAAATGCCATCTGGTTGGGCGTACCAAGGTAAAAGTGAATGTCTCTGCACATGTGAGTCCACATGGATAGATAATTTTATGCAGAGTGGAAAGTTTTCAGTGTGGTTTAAATTCAAGCCTGGGCTGTGTGGGTAATGCCTCATGCTGACCACTGTATTTAAGGAATTCAAAGGATGTTGTGGGTATTTTTAAAACGGTCTAATGCAGGCACCTAATAATCTGTTTCTCTAATGGGCATTTTGTGCTTATTTGTTGTCTGTATATCCTCTTTGGTGGAATGTCTGTTCCTGTCTTTTGCCCATATTCTCATTGGATTATTTTTAACTGTTGAGGTTTTTTTTTTTTTTTAATTGTGGTAAAAATACATAACATAAAGTTTACCATATTCATCATTTTTAAGTTCGGTCAGAAGACAAAATTACAGCCAGTTTAGTTTAAACATCCTAATCGTTTTTCTTTTCTTAATTTTTTTGGCGGCTGGCCAGTGTGGGGATCTGAACCGAGCTAACTGGCCAGCCCTAATTGGCTTTTATTTGTGATTCTAGAATCAGGCAACACCTCATTGTGTAAACTTTTTTTTTTTGGCAGCTGGCAATCATTGTGTAAAATAGAATGAGTGTTCCCATGAGCTGAGCCAGAGGAGTTTGGCTTTATAGATGGAAGAGAGAGGGCTGAGGAAAGCAGAAACAGAACAAAAAGCAGATTGGTCGTTTCAAAGTTACTTTTCTTGTAAAGGTGAAAACAGAGGGAACTCCCTTATCATGCCAGCTAAAACTGGCCTGCTAGGGGATTTGGCTTTCAATTGCTTTGAAGTTTGGATAAACCACTTAGTTTTGTCTTGGTGACTTGGAACTTCACAAATAACTCCATTTTGGTTTGGTCTGTTGGTCCCAGTGCAAGAGCTCAGTCCAAACCAACAGCAGCCTCCTATCAATTTTATTTAATGATTGTTAACTATATTTACATTATTATGCAATTAGCTGCTGAGTTTTGAGAGGTTTTTTTAAGGTATTCCAGATATAGTCCTTTGTCAGATAGGTGGTTTGTGAATATTGTCTCCCAGTTTGAAGCTTATTTTTTCCATCCTCTTAACAGGGTCATTAGCGAGCAAAAGTTTTAAATTTTGATGAAGTCCATTTTATCTATTTTTCCTTTTATGGATTGTGACTTTGGTGTCAAGTCTAAGAACTCTTTGCCTAACCCTACCTAGGTCCCAACATTTTTCTATTTTTTTCTAAAAGTTTTATAGTTTTATGTTTTGCATTTACACCCATGATCCATTTTGAGTTAATTTTTATGTAAGGTGTGAGGTTTAGGTCAGGGTTTTTCTTTTTCTGCCTGTGGATATGCAGTTGCTCCAGTGACATTTGTTGAAAAGGTTATCCTTCCTCCATTGAATTGCTTTTGCACTTTTGTCAAAAATCAGTTGAGCATATTATTTGAGTTTATTTCTGGGGTTTTTAATCTGTCCTGTTGATCTGTGGATCTATGGGTCTGTCCCTTTACCAGTACCACACAGTCTTGATTACTGTAGTTACGTAAAGTAAGCCTTAATACTGGTTGAGTGATTTGTCCCAATTTATTCTTTTTTTTTTTTTTTTGTCAAAATTGTTTTAGCTATTCTAGTTCCTTTGCCTTTCCATGTAAATTTTATTTTTTATTATTTTTCTTTCTTTATTTTTTGGTGGCTGGCCAGTATGGGGAATCATCCATATAATTTTTTTTTTTTGTCTTTTTTGTGACTGGCCGCACCGCGCTCAACCAGTGAGCGCACCGGCCATCCCTATACAGGATCTGAACCCGCGGCAGGAGCGCTGCTGCACTCCCAGCGCTGCACTCTCCCGAGTGCGCCACGGGGTCGGCCTTCCATATAAATTTTAAAATAACCTTGTCTATAGCTACAAAAGAATCTTACTGGAATATTGGTAGCAATTATGTTAAACCTGTGTAACCATATGGGGAGAAATGACATCTTTAGTAGGTTGAGTCTTCCAATGCATGGACATCAAATGTCTTTTTCTTTTTTCAGGAAAACTTCAGAGGTAAAGACAGATAGTTATGATGCAGCCTGTTGACATGTATTATGAGATGCTTTTGTTCCAGGGAGAATGTCAACTGAGAGACTGTCAGATTGTGTCTTTGTTCACTTCCTCTTGTTTTTGTTCTTGTTTTTGTAATTCATAGGCCTATGAAAGGAGGTTCCCTACATGTCCTTTGATTCCAATGTTCGTGGACAGTGACACTGTGAATGAATTTAAGAGTGAAGATGGGGCTATTCATGTTATTGAAAGGCGCTGCAAACTGGATGTGGATGCACCCAGATTGTTGAAGAAGGTGACTAAAAGGAAACGTCTTGAAGGCAGTTACCCAGAAGACAAAATGAACTTATGCTTATAGCTTCTGTTGTAGTTGGGTGTTATTAATAAACTCTTTTTCTCTTTATTTCTTTTTTTAAAGATTGCAGGAGTTGATTATGTTTATTTTATACAAAAAAACTCACTGAATTCTCGGGAACGTACTTTGCACATTGAGGCCCATAATGAAACGTTTTCTAATCGGGTCATCATTAACGAACACTGCTGCTACACCGTGAGTATCTGTCATTTGGCAAAAGATTATAAGAGTGTGCGGACATTCGGCTTCTGAGGATGGTTTGGTCATCGTTTTTAACTGTGCATCTCTTCGTCTTAGAGGGCAGTTCTTCAGCAGATATTGCACTCATTTCTGATGAGTGGGGTCAGTAGGTCAGCAGGAATGATTTACTGCAGAATGGATTACTTTGTTGTGGAAGTTAAGGCAGTGAAGGGATACCTCGATTTGTTTTTAAATGTTACTTCAACATGCCACATTTTTTCTGGTCCCACTCTAATACACTAGAAATATATATTGAAGGACCAAGATATTATGTACCTTTAAGGTTAGAGCCGAAAGCATTTATCAGTCTTGCCATTTCCAAGGCTTACCATTTCTTCTAGCAGATTATTAGAATAACCTCCTACTAGGTCTCTCTTCTTCTACCCTTCTCCTCCTACAGTATATCCTCAGCACTGACTCCAAAGTGACCCATTTAGAGTACATCAGTGCACGTCCCTTCTCTGGGGTCAAAACCCTCTAGTGTCTCCACATTCCACTTGGAGGAAAAGTCCAGAGTCCTTACCGTGGCTTCTAAGGCTCCATGTTCTCTCCCAGCCACATCTCTGTTCTCCCTGTTGCATTGTGCGCGAGCCTTTGTTGTTCACTGGATGTGAGGCCTACTTCCCCGAAGGACTTCTGCTCTGCCGGGACTGCTTTTCCCCAGGTCTCTGCTTGACTCACTGTCTTACTGCCCTCTAACTTTGTTCAGCTGTCCCATTCTCAATGAATCCAGTCCTGCTGTCTGCTGTCCCCAAACCCCAATTCTTTTATCTCGGCTTTTTTTTTTTTTTTTTTCCTCATAGCAATTATCTTCCAACAGCTATGTAATTTTCTTACCTATTGTGTTTATGGCTAATTGTCTCTCCTATAAGACTGTAAGCAACATAAGACAAGGATCTTTGTTTTGTTAGTAAGGGAGGACACTGCCCAGTGAGTATGTTTAGTGAGTGAATGAACCAAGAATGAAAATGAAGTTCTCCTTTTATAGGCATTTTTAGAATGTTTTAGAAATATTATTTGGACCTTTTCATGATCTTGAACCTCTCTGTAATTTTTCCAGCTGCTCTTTTCATAATAGTAACACTATTAATAAAATAAGTGTTTCTCTGGTTACCAGTTAACTGAGGAACAAATGATATTCTCAGTTGTCAGTGTAGTTAGTGGGAATATTTTTTCTTTATCTGCAGGTTCACCCTGAAAATGAAGATTGGACCTGTTTTGAACAGTCTGCAAGTTTAGATATTAAATCTTTCTTTGGTTTTGAAAGTACAGTGGAAAAAATAGCAATGAAACAATATACCAGCAACATCAAAAAAGTGAGTCTTTTTTGGGATTCAAAGGAAAAGGGTGGGCAGGAGTCTCTCTAAGATGATCTGAGCTGGCAGTCTTTCTGGAAGGCTGGAAATGGGTCAGGAAGTCCCAGCCACTTGAAGAAGAACTGTTTTAATCCAGTGCCCAGGGTCTTGTCTTTGCAAAGAAGGGCTTCTGACAGCACTACTGACCAGGGGTGGCTACGAGGCATATGTAGTTACTGGCTGTGATATTCTGTACCTGGAATTGCTGGGAAAGGTGGGAATTGAGGTGAGGCAGCAGCAACCAGCCTGCAGTGTCCCCAGGTTTCTACCTTAGGGTCTGCTGGTGGGAGGTACTATTGTACTGATATTCTTACCAGGTGGGCTTGCAGGTGTCCCTAACCCTTGGGTTGTTAGGTTCATCTTCCATGGAAGATCTTACTCTCTTATTTTTGTGCTGCTCCTCATCAATTTTTATGGAATTGTGGTTTTGAGAGGCGTGTTTTATTTTCAGGGCGCTGTGTACGAAAGAATTTTCCCATTCAGAGAAACATAGATTGAAACATAACGCATATATTGTGTACAAGTATGGTAATTCAGTGCTTGAAATTAGTCATACAAAAATTTCATCTCTACTGTAATAAAATACCAGACTTACTCTGGTAATAGAACACCAGAACTTATTCCTCCTAACTGTAACTTCGTACCTTGACCGGTCTCTTTCTGTCCCCACCTGTCCCTCCCCTCCCCAGCCTTTGGTAACCACCGTTTACTCTCTACTTCTATGATATCAACTTCTTTAACTTCCACATGTCAGTAAGAACATGCAGCATTCGTCTTCTGTGCCTGGCTTGTCTCACTTAACATAATGTCCTCCAGGTTCATTCATGTCGCTGTAAATGACAGGATTTCATTCCTTTTTATGTTGAGTAATATTCCATTGTGTATATCAACCTCACTTTTTTTTATTCATTCATCTGTTGATGAACACTTAGGTTGATTTTCTGTCTTAGGTATTGTGAGTAATGCTACAAAGAACCTGGGTGTGCAGATTTGACACTTTGACATATTCATTTCATTTCCTTTGGATATATACCCAGTAGTAGGATTGATGGATCATATGGTAGTTCTATTTTTAATGTTTTGAGGAACCTCCAAAATGTTTTCCGTGGTGGCTGGTGTTCTATTGCACAGTAAGGTTACTGTGGTTAACAATATAGTATATTTCAAAATAGCTAGAAGACAGGATTCTGAATGTTCTCACCACAAAGAAATGATAAATGTATCAGGTGATGGATATGCTAAATACCCTGATTTGATTTTATACAATGTATACCTGTATGGAAACATCACACTGTACCCCATAAATATGTAAATTATTGTTTATCAATAAAACAAACAAAACTGTTTGAAGGCAAAAAAAATTATTGCATCTCTTTAGATTGTGTTTCCTAAACCTTTGGAGAAGAGGAAGTAAAATAATTAAGAAAAACACAGAGGCATTTGGCTTTTTTCCTCTCTATTTATTCTGTAGCAATTCAGTTTTTATAAGTGTTTTTAAAATTTATGAGAGATGAATAATTTGAACGTTGAATATATACTCACCTTAAAATTGGTTTTGTTTTAAAGGGAAAAGAGATCATTGAATACTACCTTCGGCAGTTAGAAGAAGAAGGCATAACCTTTGTACCCCGTTGGACTCCACCTTCCATCACTCCCTCTTCAGAGACATCATTGTCATGCAAGAAACAAGCTGCTTCAATGGCTGTTATCATCCCAGATGCTACCCTCAAGGAAGGGCTGGGCGGTGAGGCCCTCAGTAACCCCGCAGGGGCACCCGAGTCCATGGTGGGAACTCCAGATGGTAGGTCCTCATGTGCCGCATTCTCAGAGCAGAATTAATCTGTCCTTGTTTCCTCAGGACATTAGATGTTATGTGAATTAAAAACCAGGCTTTTGTTTCTGGCCCTTTTCCTCTAGCTGATAGAACACATTCGTTTTATTTTCGCTTAGACTTTTCTAATATACAGAAAGGGTTATATCAAGTTATTCTTTTATTGAGACCAGAAAATGTTTTTCATTTATGTTATTTAAAGGTAACTTTAGGCACACAGAGTGGGGAGGGGCCCGGCTAAAAGAGGCGGAATCTCAGAAATAAATAAAGAAAGAAGGATCAGCTGAATAGCCAGCTGGAACAAGTACTAAAAGCTCAACAACGCCATCTACTGAATCGGAAGTCCAAGATTCGAGAG